GGCCCGGTGTCGGTGCTCCCGCAGAACCTGAAGAAGAGCTGGCACCCGCAGACGCTGCGCAATGTGGAGAAGGTGTGGAAAGCCGAGCAGAAGTATGAGGCCGAGCGGAAGAAGATCGAGGAGCTGCAGCGGGAGCTGCAGGAGGAGCGAGCCCGTGAGGAGATGCAGCGATACGCTGAGGACATGGGCACCGTCAGGTGAGGTGGTGCTGGTGCCCCCCAGCCCGGTGGTGAGCAGCCCTGGCCATCCTCGGGGGGCAAGCACTGCCTGAGGAGGTGCTGCAGGTGCCCCTGAGGGAGCCCTGGGTTTAATGTCTCTGATGATAAAACGTTTCCATTCGCCTTGCTGAACCAGTGCCTTAAAATGTCACTTTAGAAGTGTGAGAAGGAAAATAAGATGGTTTTGTTTGCAACAGGAAAAGAGAAGAGAAGTTGGAGTGGATGTACCAGGGTCCTGGAGGTATGGTGAACAGAGAGGAGTATCTTATGGGTCGCCCCGTGGACAAATACGTCTTTGAGAAGACCGAAGACAAGGATGCAGGCTGTTCCAATGAGACAGGACTTCTCCCAGGGTCCATTTTTGCCAAGACAGGTGCCAATTCTGTCCTGGATATGGCAAACAAAATCCGTGAGGATCCGCTTTTCATGATAAGGTACTAAATGTGGAGCTGAAAGCGGTGATAGATGAGGCAGAACATCGATATTAGCATCTCGCTAGGAGCTGTTGTGTTTGTCTTTGTAAAGATTGCTGTCGTGTCTGCTCCTTCAAGCTGTGTCTGCCTGTTTGTGAGCTCCGGGCTGTAGGTGGCAGTCCTGGCTGCAGAGAGCCCCTTACGTGACTGGTAGGATTTTGGTTGTGTGTTCTAGACAGCAGCGTAACGTATTTGAGTCACTTTGGGGTAACTTTGCTGGATTGATTTCAAATTTTAAGATTTTGTCGTCTGAAGGAGCTGATGATCACCACGTGGGTGGTTTGGCTGTAGGTTGGTAAAGAGCTAGAAATGTAAAGGTGGTTGTTGATTGGCCTCTGCCAGCTTTGCTCGCCCTGGTGTGGGAACGTGGATGTATCTGGGCTGCGCCGAGTGTTCAGGCTTTTGTCAGCATCACGGGCAGGTTGATGGTAGTGGAGCAGATTTTTGTTAACACTTGAGCGGATAAGAACAGGACAGGCTCCTTAGGTGGATCTGTTTTGCTGAATGTACGAAACTTGCTTGTTTTCCTGTTTTATATGTTTTTAGAGCTTGTGCTTGATTGGTGTCTGTCATGAAAATAGGATATTTTCAGTTGTCTGAAAACATTGATTTATTTTTTTTCTGCTTTAGAAAGAGGGAGGAGGAAAAGAAGAGAGAAGTTTTGAATAATCCTGTTAAAATGAAGAAAATCAAAGAATTGGTAGGTGCATCTCAGTACTCCTTTACAGACCCAAAGGGCAGAATGCTCTGAACCAAGGAGAGCATCCTAAATCAAAATTAGTGTTGTTTAGGTTAAGGAGCTGAGTTCTGTTTCCTGACTCTTTCAGAGAAAAAAAACCAGAATAAATCCAGCTTTCTGTAATCCTGATA